TTACCCTTAAAGGGATAAAAGTGATATATGTGGGCCCCTCGATGATTTAGTGATGACACCCCGAAGTGCTTGGCCAAGCCTAGACTGATTTGATTTGTTCAATTAGTTAGTCGCCATAAATCGAAAATCGGGAAACAACAAATGGAGAGAGAGAATGATTATAATCCATGTCTCAGTCCATATGATATCTAGAATGGAGGAATATATGATCCCTTATCTAATGGACGCGTCATTGATTTGTTCAGAGTTTTGACAACGGCTTTTAAGAGCTACGATTGCTAGTCGGGTTTTGGAGTCATACGCAATAATAGTTTTAGACTTATCCAAGTGGGAGACTGTTGGATTAGTGTCTAAGTCCATAACTATAATTGGTATGTACTTGAGCCGATTTGGCATGGTCCATTTGGGTTGCACTTCACTGGAACAATTTATATGGATAGTCTTTTGAGAATAGTGTGTTTATGATTTATATTAATATATTATAACTTCTAATATATTAATATGGAATCATATTATTTAATTAGTATTGATCAAGAATTAATTTAGTGATCAAAAGGAACTAATTAAATATGGACTCTTATATATAGTATGGACCAAGTTCATTTAGGTTGGGCTAAGCTTGCATGGATAGTCCATGGAGTGTTTAACCCATGGATCCTATGGAAATGAAAGGTCATGGGTATTAGGGTTTACATGGATGAAACCCTAATCCTTCATACTATATAAAGAGGTCTTTGGCACATGAAATGACACTAGTGTGTGAGGATACAAGAGTGGGCCGATTTCTAGTATGCATTCTATTCTCTCAAGCTTTCCAAGGAGTTTTTGGTGATTTGTGATTCCACTTGAGGCTTCCACACTATTGGGGCTAAGCTCTTAAAGATCAAGACTTCAAGCTCCATCAAAAGGTATGTTATCTAACTATGCTTTTGTGATATAGTTGCTTCATTTTATGCTAGTTAGGATGAAATCTTGGAATATTGAATATTTGCATGTATAATAGAGAAAACACAGATCCAAGGTTTATAGGGTTGCATGTACACCATAGGAGTGTTAGAATGCTCAAAACCCATCAGTTAGCAGCCTCAAACTCTTCGTCAATCGCTGAATGAGCCCTCCTTCACTTTCCGAGTCATGTCCCCACATCAAGATCCCCCCCAGTAGTCATCTCATCAGTCCCTCTCACAGGCTGCACAGCTGCAGTTCGCTCCTCGAACTTGGCAATTAACCTGCAAGTGATCAGATCCACGATACCCGACAATTCTTCCTGTAATATCTATGAAACCTTAACGGTAATCATTTCTCATATCTGATTAAACAGTCAACCCCGTCCTATCCTGGCCACCAGCTCCAGATCCTGAACCAGATCCCTTGACGAACTCCATACTAAAAACGAACCAAAATGCATCATAAATGCCACAATACACATTGCTACAGCATACGAAGAGACTACCCCTCGGGTTTGTGACTTCCTTGCTACGTGTACGGGTCCTGTGCTTTCAGTAGTACGAGCCCATACTACCTTCCACACCTACCCATATTTGTCTCAAGGATCATCACAACCAACAAAACAAGTACCACAACTAGGATAGGCATACATTCTATCCTCACTCTCTCTCGAGAGCGACTAATCATTCCAAAACTGGCCTGATACATCCATACTCACTCATAATGATATCCCTAAGACTTGCTAAAAAGCGCATCATGAGTGCTACATACTCCCTAGGCTATCCTAGGATCCATACCTCATCCTGCCATCAACTACTGAATGACCCCCATTCATGCCAGTTAACTACTTCATGAATACAATCACATGCAACATAACTTAAATAATCTTAGATTAAAAGATTCAACCCTATAATGGTTGGACTCAGACAAGAGCTGCGCAATAGGACCAAATCCTTCACTCTAAAATTATTTAACCCACATAGTATGTAACTTAACGTATTCAATTAATAGCTAATTCACACCCGAAAGAGTCCTACAACCAATAAGCAAGAAAACTCTATAGGAATAAGGCATCATACATCAGAAAATTCTATCATGCAATTGCTAAAGATCCCTATCCTACAACTAGCATGTTGTTCTATCATAATCATCATAAACAAATAATAGTGTGGGTAACTTGGGGTGTACTTTCTACTCCGGTTGATCGTACACATCGCGTCCTTCTCTGGTTACTTTTGAAAACAATTTTGAAATTTATTTTCAAAAACTTTTGCAGATACTTAGTTTGAGTCTGGATTCACACGAATGCTCATTCAATTCTCTCAAACCAGGGCTCTGATACCAACTTGTAACATCCCAAAAATCAAAGAAATTTAAGTTTTTCAAAAACAACCTATTTCAACCAAAAAATGTTTACAAAAATCATTGTTTCAAAAGTATAATCATAATTAGTTTCCCAAGATCCAATATTATAAAAACAGGAATATGTGCATGATCACGCCTTCGCTTTCCCGCGATCATCTGAAGTACCAGAAACAATAAACTGAAACTGTAAGCCAAAGCTTAGTGAGTTCCCGCAAAGTATCACCACACAACACATAACACATACAATTCAACATGTTGGGTCCACAACCTCCTAGTTGGTTTACCCTGGCCTACAACCTCCCAATTGGATTGCCCTGCTGCCCTGCATATCATGTAGCTAGATTCATAAGTGCCCCATTGGGATTATCCTAGGCTGAATTTCTTGTAACCCGAGCATAGGATAGAAATATCAGTTTGGAAAGTATTTAAACGATCCAAGGGGTATCCAGATCTCCAGTATAAACCCTACCCAATTTCTAACATAACAAGTCACTTAAGGTACCCTTTGGTGAATGGTACCAGACAGGATAGAACATGACTAAATTTTTCAAGAAGTGTTTGGTATGAGTGGAGCAAGAACAAAAAAGATCTTGACCAAATCAAATGGGACTAATTGGTTAAATTTTAGTCCCATAAAAATGATAGAACTTAGTGGAACAAAAAAGAAAATGACAAAAAAACCCATGTTATATCCTTATCCACTCCCTCTCTCTTTCAATTGTCAAGCAACACTCCGTTGACACCTACCCCTAGAGACACCTAGATCACCCCCTCCCCCTTTTCCCTACTAAATCTTCCTCTTCCCATTGTGATCTGCTACTCGATCTATTGCTTCCTCTTCTGTCCATCTCGACTCCTCGGTTTGCTTCTCTACCTCTTTTGGTCTCTGATTCCTCTTCTCACTCCCTCTTGCACATGGTAAGATTTTATTGATTTCACTTGTTCTTTTCTCGAACAACTTAATGTGTGTATGTATACATCTGCTTCATGATTTGTAGAATGATAAGTTAGAAAAGTGATTAATCAACAAGTTGGAGGAGAATAAAGAAGAGAGAACCTTGATTAATGAGTCTAGGAACTCAAAAAGTCGGATTCGGCATGAATCAAGATCAAAATTGAGAATATAAGAAAAAATGAAAATTAAGAAGGAGATAAGAAAACCTACGGATTTTTTCGGATGTTTTGGGTGTTAATGTGAGCCTAACAAGAGAGACAATGCTTCCAGGAAAAGAAAAACTATTTGTACCATTTTCCCAATACTCTTTCATGATTTGTTATATGGTAGATGACAAAGGGTAAAACACCTAATTTTAAATTATATATGTTTGAAGTTTGAACAGTGTATACTTTTCATACTGGCTTCATGATTTGTTTCTTTCCTTTATATGCTTTGCTCATATTGTGTTTAAACAAGTAATATGAATTTATTCTTCAACAAATAATTTCAATATTTTTGTTTAATTTAAGTTTCAACAACAACGAATTTGTGGTTTCAAGAATGATACTTAATATTGACGTTGTTAGTTGTTATAAATTTTGTTTAGAATTCATATTATTCGGTATTTATGAAGTTATGTTGTTTATTTTGTATGAAGGGCAATATAGTAATCTTGACTGTTTTTTGTTGTCCAAATATTTTGTTTAATTTAAGTTTCAACAACAACGAATTTGTGGTTTCAAGAATGATACTTAATATTGACGTTGTTAGTTGTTATAAATTTTGTTTAGAATTCATATTATTCGGTATTTATGAAGTTATGTTGTTTATTTTGTATGAAGGGCAATATAGTAATCTTGACTGTTTTTTGTTGTCCCGTCCTAGTATTACCAAACACCATATTGACAATATATATAGTCTCGTCCAGTCGAGTTCTGTTCAATCATGTTCAGTCATATTCCGTCTAATCCCACTACCAAACGCTACCTTAGAGCAGTTACTCAGTTGGTTTTTATTTTGTCAAGTTGTAATTGAGTTGGAGAACATGTCCTCTTGAAAGGTTGGAAACTTTCTTCTAATCTTTTGGGTCCAATCATTCAATAAACGCCCGATAATCTTCTCTAGACCTACGCATTAGCAGTCCCGGACTAGTATTGAGCCAGTCTCAAAATGGGTCGGGTCACAAAAATTTTTAGCCCGATTTCATGGTCTTTGTGTGCGCCTTTTTTGGTTCTGTTTCTCAAGGTTTTTTTTCTAGTTTTTTGGTTTCGGTTTCGGATTTTTTTTAACAAATATGTGATTAATACCAAAATGATACATTAAAATTTACCAAAAACCATACATGAATTATAGTCTACTTATATGTTAGGCCTTTGTATTTGTTGTATGATAAATCATATATATATATTTTTTTTCCTACTAATCTTCCTATTCATTAAGCCAAATGTCAAAATCATGAAAATAGATTAATAGAGATAATTAATAAATTTCACATGTCAATGTTTTATAATAGTATGGAAGATAAATAGGAGGATATTTAATTTTTCTTGTTGTATAGACTAGCCCATAGCCCACTTCTGTTTGTATATAATAGTAAGATTGAAATCAGTTGTGTGGAATCAATCTAATTACAGCCATGTCCGAATCGTTTACAATAGTGTAACTTGAGATCTCACTACAGTTGACTGAGTTGAGATGCCAGAAGAAGTGAGTTCATGGCTAGGAATATATGAGGAAGAACAAGAAGAAGAAATACAAAGTACGTTCATCTAAAATTAATTGATGTATACACTTGATCTCAACAACCTTCATTTAAAAAAACACTAGAATGGTTCCAATTAAACAAAAACAAAACCTAATCCATAAAAATCAAATCTTAAAAATCATTTTGACATGAACAAATACAACCATCACCTAGTAGAAGCTCTTGCACTCATGGAAGAATGATAATTTGTGCTTCTTTGTTTCCTATATGATGTGTAAACATCATCATACTGACTAACCTCATTCGGGTTAGCCATCGCCCCGAGCCCGAGCCGCCCGGACCCACTCGACCCGGGTTTCTTCTCCACGGTTCCATCCGCGTAGGTCCCGGTCTCGGGGTCCACCTGTAGGTTAGGGGGTGGGGGTATACACGCACCCCCTTTACGTACAGGTGTCTCTCTCCCTCTTTCATATTCATATTCATCCTCATCATCACTTTTTGCTCCCATTGGTCCTTCTGAAGGGTTCACTTCTCCAATCTCCTTGAAGAATTTCGATACACTTTCAAGAATCTCAGAAGGGGAGATTGTAGAGGGCGGAATCACGGTTGGAATGTCGAGAGGACTCATGGGGGAATAGGGTACTCCGCTTCCGATTTGCATTTTTCTAACCATTCCGGGGATTAGTCCGGGTGGGAATAAAGGGTATGGTGGTAATTTTTCGGGTGCTTGTGGTGGTGGTATTTGTTGGATGGAAGATGGAATGGGAATGGAGCTGGGATAACCGGGGTTGGAATGGAATTGCGGGGTTGGAATCGGTGGTGCCATTCCGGGTGGGAGTTGTTCTTGGTCTGATAAATTTGGAAGCATACCTTGTTTATCAGGCTGCCAATGCACCATATTTGAAGCGGATGCTTGCTGTGGATGTCCTACATGGAAAAGTTTTAATCGAAATGTGAGTCTGCATCAAATAAGTTAGAATGGTCCTCATGCTTTCTGAGTTTAACTTTTTTAGTCCAAAACTGAAACATTTTTCAATTTTGGTCCTTATTTCAAGTTTTCATATCGATTTTGGTCCTTATTTCAAGTTTTCATATCGATTTTCGTCTTTATTTCAAGTTTTCATATCGATTTTGGTCCTTATTACTTCAAGTTTGCATGTCGATTTTGGTCCTTATTTCAAGTTTTCATATCGATTTTAGTCCTTACTTCAAGTTTGCATGTCGATTTTAGTCCTTATTTCAAGTTTTCATATCGATTTTGGTCCTTATTTCAAGTTTTCATATCGATTTTGGTCCTTACTTCAAGTTTGCATGTCGATTTTGGTCCTTATTTCAAGTTTTCAAATCGATTTTAGTCCTTACTTCAAGTTTTCATGTCGATTTTAGTCCTTATTTCAAGTTTTCATATCGATTTTGGTCCTTATTTCTAGTTTTCATATCAATTTTGGTCCTTATTTCAAGTTTTCATATCGATTCTGGTCCTTATTTCTAGGTTTCATATTGATTTTAGTCCTTATTTCTAGTTTTCATATCTGTTTTGGTCCTTATTTCAAGTTTTCATATCAATTTTGGTCCCTAGGATCAAAACCAGAAAGCCCCAAAGACCAAAAGCCATGTGAAACCATAAAATACAGACCAAAACTGAAAACTGTTTCATTTTTTAACTAAACACAGTAAAATCCAGAAAACACAGAGGCCATTTTTGTAATCTACTCAAAAAGTGTGTGTGTGTGTGTGTGTGTGTGTATGTTGGGGGGTACCTGGAATGGCTGATGGATCACCTGGGATAGTAGATAAGTCATTCTTAGGAAAAGAACCAACAGGTGGGCCACTGAGCATCTCAGTCTCAAGAACACGGATAGTATCAGGATCATAAACTTCCTTTGATGCCCAAAACTGTAAAATTTTCTGCAATCTTGATTGATTTTCATCTTTGTTTACAGGGTTGTGGTAAATTCTTGCAAGCATAGAGCCTAAAACATGTCTAAAAGCAAGCGCCTCGTTATCAATCTCATGAGGATTCACACGTCTTTGCAAGCTGCAGTTTTCACAAGAAAACATACACATAAGAATATTACACTATCACAATATAAAAAATATTAGACATACCTGTCAAATAAAATGTCATTAGCCAAGTAAATGATATGCAGCTGTCTTTCAGAGTCATCAAGAGAAAACACTCTATCCCTAAGTGCTTCTGCAAGAGCAGGAGCAAAAGGAGACCTCTGCATGAACCACATTTTAGCACCTTTGATTGACTCTTTTGTCCCTGTGAGACTATTCAGCATGTTATTCATCTCTGATGCAACATCAGAAGGAAGTGGGCCAGAGAGACCTTTGAAAGCCCTGGAAGACTGGTCAAACTCTGGCCTCCCATGGTTGACAAAAGGCTGATGGTGTTGCTGTTCATAAAACGGTGGATATGGATGTTGTTGATGCATTTGAGGAGCAGGAGGTAAATGTGGAGGATTTAAGGGTGACTGGTTGTTCATCATAGGGTTTGAAGTGTGCAACATGTTAACATTAGATGGAGGAAAAGAAGGGTTAAACATGGCACCAGGTGGGTGTGAAGCTAACCAGAGTTTATACCTGTAATAACTATGGCCTTCACCACCAAACAAGAAACTATAAGCAGGGTTATCTTTCTGTTTTTCACGGATCATAGCTTCAAACTCAGGGCCATTTTTCACTGCATATTCCACAAGCTTATCAATAGTCTTTTGTTGTTCGGGGTCAGAAGGAGGAGGGGCGGGTGGTGGTGGTGCATCATATGGACCATGGAATGGAGAAGGGTTTACATGAGGCGGCATATGAGGGGGGAAATTTGGAGGTGGTTGTGGTTGTTGTTGTTGTTGTTGTTGGGGGAGGTGAAGAAGGTGAAGATGGGATTGAGGGTGAGGGTGGATTTGTGGTTGTTGCATGAGGGGGTGGCGGGGAAATTGTTGGATGGAAGGATGTGGTGGTATAAAAGGAGGGCCATGAACTGAAGGTAGGAATTGTTGTTGATGTTGTGGGTGAAAACCATATGGTGGTGGTGGTGGTGGTGGCTGCTGGTTCTGGATATTAGCAGCTTGTTGCTGTTGTTGTTGTGCAAATGCCATGGCAGCAGCTGCATAATCATGGCCTTGACGATCCATCAATCTTTAGCAAGATGATCTTCAAGAACCACCTATCATGATGATATTAACATATAACTTGCAATAAGCTCAAAGTAGTTGCAATATAGAAACTATACATGAATTTGAAACCCCTAACTAGATGATTACGTGACTATTGAATCATTAGTGTGTTCCATAAGCAATGAGGCTAAACCAGCTATCTATCTGCATGATTCAGATCCTATCACAATTCACAAAAATGTATGGAGCTATTTATGATTAATTAATCGTACATGGGCTAACGCAAACTGAAGAATTCAAATTGTTAACCAGAAACCCTCCTATATTCGTTATAGAAGTGAGAGACAGTGCTAAATACAAGAAGCAGACATAAATATGCACTCCATTAAAAGAACAAATCAATTTAAAATCTAACTTTGAATGAACTTAAATGAATCAATGGACCCGATAATCAATATAATTTGAACTCGAAGACATACTAAACCACTTTACATAAGAGGATTTTATCAGTGGAAGTATTATTGCACGAGTATTTGCTAAAGGAACATCAACGACACAGGTAAATCAAAAACCTATATGCTGGGAACAGAATAAAACTTGAGGAAAACTTCAGATTAGTAAATGAATTCTAAAATGATAAAACAAAATTTCAACGCAATCATATTGTAGATATGAATTAGAATATGATAAAAAGCTAAGGCATCAGTACGCACTTGAGAGTAAAAATTAGGGCTTTTAATATAGACAAATGTAGGAAGAAGATCTTCAAAGCTTTTTGAGGGAATAAATTGTGGAATCGGCGGTCGGAGGGAGAAGATGGACGGCGCAGGAGAAGTAAGGCGCCGGCAAGCTGATACCGGAAAACCAGATAATTGGTGGAGCGATTGTTTCCTGTAGTCCTCTATTTCATTCACGGTCTCTAGAGCAGAAGCAGCGGTGCAACTCGGCTGTAGCCGCTGTATAGGTTTGATAAAACCACGATTTGAATTAATCTATTTTGTTTAAATATTTAGAGTAATCATGCGAATGGTATGTCAAAACGTATCTTTACCCTTTATTTTCAAAAATTAAGTTGTTGTTAGTTTAAATTTGCATAATTCATTAATTTCAAAATTTAACTTGTTGTTAGTTTAAATTTGCATAATTTTTCGCCAACATAAAATGACTATATTACCTTTTTTTATTTTTTATTTAAAATAAAAAGAAAATAAATTTAAACCCATTATTTACATATATATTAATAATTTTTAAACAATAAACCTATCATCTTTATTCCCTACCCACCCCACCCCATTTCTCCCTTCAGACTCTCTATCTGCCTCCCACGAAGTCACGAACTCACTCCCCTTAAAGAAAAAATCTGGCCACTGGACCACCACCTAACACTGCTACCGAAAGAACATTTAACCACAACCACCACCGGAAAATGGATCTACCCCGCTATCAGATACATATGATTTCGGAATCGGAACTGGAGTTGTAGGCGAAGAAGATGGTCGGAATTCGACGCCAATTCTGCTTCTTCTATGATCAAAATCTTCTTTTTCACCGGTAAATAGTAGACCTTATTATGGAAGCCTAATTCACGAGTGTTATAGGACTGCTGGTGAGAAAAGCAACAAGATCAGGTTGTTTCGTGAGAGCAGGGTAAAGATCACCAGTGCTTATCAGACCAGATGAGGACCTTTTTGGTCAGATAATCCTTCACAGAAAAACCATAATCATCAAATTAAATAGAAAATATATTATCTTTAGCAAATTTACAGAAAAATACAAGATTTTTAATAATATTAGGGGTGGCAAGGACACTATGTAAATGAAGAGGACGGTGAGTGGAAGGAATAATAGTGTGACTAGTGTGAGTAACGGAAATAGATGAACTATTAACAACAAAGACAAAATTAAAATTGATTTTATTGCTAAAGGAAGTAAGTATACCTGAATCGGAGGCTAAGTGGGATGTAGCACTCGTGTCCATGAACCAAGTAGAGTATGTAGGCTCTTGGAGAGACATAGAGCTAAAAGTTTGACCAATATCGGTAGGTTGATCATTTGAGACGGGGAGAAACCAATTTCATGGTGGCTGCATGGAATTTTTTTGTGAAACATGAAAACTCGAAAGAGGAGTCATCGAAGGAGGTTGGCGGAGGATTCTCGGCTGCTGTCGGACTACATTTTGTTAGTATCTGGAGTGGGCATGTTGTTGCGTCAGGCGGTAGTTGGACCACGAAGAGGGAGGCCAACCATAAGGTTGCCATGGTAGGGGTAGCTAAGCCAAGGAAACGGCAGTGAAGGTGTCTGTTTTTGTTGCTTAATTACTCCGCTCAATAAGGGGCTGCTCGCGACGGTTGTCGTGGTTTTGGCTACGACGATTGTTGTGAGGTGGTCCTCTGTTGTTTTTGTTGCTACGATTTGGTGCACAAGATTGGTTCCCCGGAGACTGAGATTGAGACCCATTGCCATCGTATAGAGCACTTGAGGGGTGAAACGGTGATCCGAGTGGATGGCTTGAAAAGAACAGATCCGATCAAAGTGTTGTTCTTTAAGGACAAACATTGAACAGGGTTGAAGAAAACTTGGGAGACACTCACGATAGCGAATAAGATTAGGAATATTATCAAACTTGGGTTCCATTCCATTGAGATGGTAAGTAACCAATGTTTTATCGAGGACGGGGGAGCCAATAATTGCTAATAAATCTGCCACTGCATTGATCTTTTGACAATACTACATAACGGACGAATCACCAATAACCATGGAGCGAAGTTCATTCTCTAGTTTAATGGCCCTTGCATCTTTTTTGTCACATAATAAGTCTTCAAGAGCCTTCCAGTTATCCCAAGCCTTGTGACCATTCTTAAGAACCATAGTGAGAAGGCGATGAGTAAGGGTGCCATAGATCCACATGCATGGAAACAAGAGAATCGAGGTTTTCCTATTCCCTGTCAATAGCATCCTTCAGATTTGATGTATCATCAAGGTGATTGAAGACTCCATAGGCTTTGCAGTGGGTCTCGAAAAGGACTCTCCAAGCATCATAGTCTAGTTGATTCAAATCAAGTATCAAAGGAACAAAGGCTTAGATGTTAGTGATGCTATAGGGTTTAAGGTTTTTGTTGGTAGGGTTAGAGCTTTCACCTCCTGTCATTGGAACGAAACAAATGAGCGATCACAGAAGATGGATCGTCAAGGAGAATAGAAAATCAACATGAGGAGGGGAAGATAGAGGTATAGCGATCTCGACTCTGATAGCATTTTAGGATGTGAAATATTCTCTTTTGCCTTTCATTAAAACGTATACACAAATATATACAAGAGATAATACATATGCGCCTACATACAACAATACTGGGTGGATACTAATGGGCTACTATGATCGTAACTCACAAAGAACTCTCTGATGCACAATTAGGCAGAGACAATAACAAAATAAACACAGCTAGCTAATCATGTCTAATATCCCCCTTCAAGCGGAACGGTGGTGGACCAATGGTGAGCAAGTCACAGAAGAACTCAAACTGATGGCGGGGAAGACTTTTGGTAAAGATGTCAGCCACCTGGAGCTTGCTGGATACGAATTTGGTATGAAGTTTCCCAGAAGAAACGAGCTCCCGAATGAAATGGTAATCGAGTTCAATATGCTTCGCACGCTTGTGGGAAACCGGATTCTGAGTAAGAAATAACGCACTTTTGTTGTCGCATAGGAGAGTGGGACGAACAAATGGGAGAGGATGGAGTTCTTGAAGCAGATGGGTAATCCAAATGAGTTCAGCAGCGGTATTTGCCATGGCCCGATATTCGGATTCGCAGCTGGAGCGAGAGACGGTAGGTTGCTTCTTGGCACTCCAGGAAACAAGGTTGCCACCGAGGAAGATAGAGTAGCCATAGGTGGAGCGTCGGGTGTCAAGACAACGAACCCAATCAGCATCAGAGTACCCGAGAAGAGGTGATGGAGAATTTCGGTGAGAGAAAGTTAGGCCGAAGGACATGGTGCCCTTGACATACCGAAGAATACGTTTGACACTCTGAAAATGGGGGAGAGTCGGAGCCTGAAGGAACTGGATGACTTGATTTACCGCATACGAGATATCAGGTCTGGTAATCGTCAAGTATTGGAGTGCTCCCACAAGTGAACGGTAAGTGGTGGGGTCATCAAACGGGTCACCACTTGTGACAAAAGCAGCATTAGCGGCAAGGGGAGTGGTGACAGGTTTGGCATCAATCATATTTGCCCGCTTGAGGATGTCATGGGCATATTTGGACTGATTGAGGAACAAACCGTCGGTAGTATATGTCACCTCGAGACCAAGAAAGTAGTTAAGACGACCAAGGTCTTTAATGGCAAATTCAACATGCAACTTGTGGATAAAGGATTGAATAATCGAGGCCTGATTTCCAGTAAGGATCAGGTCATCAACATAAACCAACAAATACATAATACATACACCCCGTTTAAAAATAAAGAGAGAAGGGTCGGCCCGGCTACACACAAAACCATTTGTGATTAGAAACGAGCTAAGTCGATGGAACCAAGCCCATGGCGCTTGTTTGAGGCCGTAGAGAGCTTTGTTTAAACGACACACATGATTAGGAAATTGGGGGTCTTGGAAACCCGGTGGCTGCTCCATGTACACACGCTCACTCAAGTGGCCATTGAGAAAAGCATTGTTAACATCAAGTTGATGAAGATTCCACTTGTTGGTAACGGCAAGAGACAAAACAATGCGGACTGTAGCGGCTTTAACTACCGGGCTAAAAGTATGAGAGTAATCCAAACCAGGAACTTGGCTGAATCCTTGGGCAACTAAACGGGCCTTGTAACGATCAATGGAACCATCAGCAAGGTATTTTGTCCGAAATATCCATTTACAGCCAACAACATTGTGGTTGTGCGGGTGAGGGATCAAGGTGAAGGTATTGTTGCGACGTAAAGCATCCAACTCCTGTTGCATGGCGTCCACCCAATGCGGGTAACGAGCGGCGGTTTTAAAACTGGTGGGATCGGTGGAAGCGTGAAGAGCTGCCAAAAGCCCATGAGAAGCGAGATCCGCCCGATATTTAGGTTTGAAAATGCCAGCTTTAGCCCGGGTGATCATCGGGTGACTCGGAGGAGGAGGACATTATGGTGATGGAGATGAGGAGACCGAAGATGTCGGCTCAGTTGGAAGATCTTCAGAGACAACATCATAGTCAGAATCAACACCACCATGGTTGTGATCATTAGCGCCATGGTCATTATTATCAGCAGTGGGAGCAGGAATGGGAGAAACGGCCGGTGGAGAGTGATCCTCAGATAGACACCACGAGGGTAACATGGGAGTTGGTGTTGGAGCGGTAACAGTAGCAGGTGGAGACGGTGGCAGTGTCGTAGCATCGTAAGCGTCATCTCGAAACTGTGATAAAACAAGCATGTGGGCCGGTAATGAAGTTGCATCATTATGGAAGGGAAAGCATTGTTCGTCAAAGCGAGCATGACGAGAGACAAAGATACGAGATGTGGAGGGCTCCAAACATTGAAACCCCTTATATTGAGAGCAATACCCGAGAAAAATACATGGAAGGCTTCGTGGAGATAGTTTGTGATCCACATAGTCATGTAAATAAGGATAGACCCGACACCCGAACGGGCGAAAATGATCATAGGAAGGTGGAGTCTTAAAAAGCATCTCAAATGGGGAGCGATTCTCTAATACCGAAGAGGGGAGCCGGTTGATAATATAGACGGCGGTGCTGAATGCGTGAACCCAGTAAGATGGGGAAACATGACCGCTAAAGAGCATAGCAAGACCTGTCTCAAAGATGTGGCGATGCTTCCGCTCGACCCGCCCGTTTTGTTGTGGAGTGTACGGGCATGAAATACGGTGAAATGTGCCATTTTTCTCAAGTAGAGAACGAACTAAGTGATTGAGAAATTCCTTGCCACCGTCGCTTTGAAAGATTTTGACTTTAGTGTTAAATTGGGTCTGCACAAATTTAAGAAATACATCCAATACAGCATGAAAACCCGACTTTGTTTTTAGTGGATAAAACCACGTAAATCGAGAGTAGTCATCTACAAACACAACATAATAACGAGAAGAATCAACCGAACATACGGGAGAAGGTCCCCACAAATCACAGTGAATAAGATCTGATACTTTCATAGCACGTTTTTCATTGTTTACAAAAGGTAACCGATGAGCTTTAGCCATCTGACAAGAAGAGCATAAAAACGGTTTGGGTAAAATAGAGGTAACCGACAATTGGCCCTTTTTATTTAACAGAGAAATAGAGTCATAGGACACATGTCCTAAACGGGCGTGCCAAAGTTCAAAAGAAGCCTTCAACTTGGAACTAGTGGAAGCAAAAAAGACATGCGGATTGGAGGAGAGCACATAAAGACCACCGTTACACCGGCCCTGTGCTAGAACTTGCTTCGTCTTTCGGTCCTGAATGTAAAAATTAGGATGAGAAAATAAAACATCCAGAGAATTATCGTATGTCAATTTGCTAACAGATAGAAGGTTTATAGTGAGATTGGGAACGACTAACACATCCCGAAGATGGATATTCTTGTGTAAAAACGTGTGCCCAATGTGGGATATAGGAAGAGTCGTACCATTACCAAAGGAAACCTTGTTCGGACCAGAAAATGGAGTCGGATTGTTGACAGAAGCGGCTGAGGATGACATGTGATCAGATGCACCCGAATCGACATACCAATCGGGGCCAGATGAAGTCACATGACATTGAGCATGAAAGGCTCTTGCAAGATCGGCATCGGAAGTGGCAACAGGGGAGCTAGCAAACCGAGCAAGCTGAGGACAAGTATTTGCGAAGTGTCCATTAGTTCGACAAAGTTGGCAGTGGGGAGGACGACGCCCCCGCCCTCGACCGCCACGAGAAAAACGACCACCGCAACCCCGAGTAGGAGGAGAGTCACGAGAATTCACATTGAAAGCAACCGGTGGTGTAGATGAACCGTGAATAGAATGCATGAACAACTCATGCCCTTCGGCTTGAGCAACAAGGTCACAGAAGGTGATAGAAGTGCACGAGGCTCGAATCGTGGTGGAAAAGGTCTCAAAAGGTGCTCCGAGACCGCATAGAAACCAATGAACCTTGTCAGAATCGGCCACAGGTTTACCAATCGCTGCTAACTGATCACATAGGGCACGAAATTTTCGACCAAAATCTGCAACAGAGGAAGAACCCTTGGTGATCTGACGAAGTTGATCCCGCAGATTCTGAATGCGCTCGACGGAGGAGTTGCTGTAAGCATCTTCTAAGGCCAGCCAGATGTCACGTGCAGAGGACAGACCAACAATTTCAGAGAAAGCTTCTTCAGATAGGGAGGCCTGAAGGAGAATAACAGCCCTTTGATCAGCGGATTGTCAGGCAGCAAATTCCGGGTTTGGAGTTGATTTTCCATCAGTGATTAATGTAGGCGGCGGTGCAGGGGAGGTGCCATCAACGAAGGGCATCAAGTTCTGATAAGAGAGAAGGGGAAGAATTTGATTCTTCCACAATAGGTAGTTTGAAGGTGTGAGACGATTGGAGATGAGATGAAGAACTGTATTCATGGAGAGGAGGGAATCAGAAGATGAACTAGCCATGTAGAAGATGAAGATGAGAAGGAAGGAATGGAAGAGGAGAAGAGGAACGGTTAGTGCTCTGATACCATATGATTGTAACTCACAAAGAACTCTCTGATGCACAATTAGGCAGAGAGGAATGCAATAAATAGAATAAAAAAGTTACAAATACACCCTTAGACAATAACAAAATAAACACAGCTAGCTAATCATGTCTAATAGCTACAATAACACATGTTACTTCCTTAAGACTTTTAGTTTAGATTGAACTACTTACATATTCATCGTTTTGTTTGTATTTATTTCAAAATTTTACTTTAAAAAATAATTAATGTTTGCATCTTATATTTAATCTTTTTTAATTAACCTACGAACTAATATACACTAACAGAGAGTGGCCCTCAACAAGCTTTGGACCAAAGCTAATTTTCTATAACATGGAGAGGACCTCGATAGCTCCTTTGCGCCCCTTCTTTCGAGTCTTGAGGAGTCTTTGGACCACATTATTTTCCAGAGCCATATTTCTAAATCTACTTGACGGAAAACTGGTAATTTGTGGGAGGTGGATCAGGTTAATTAGATGTCTAAATCTTCCCTTTATTTTATTGGATAAACACCAACAAAAGCCAAACATTCGTTCAATTAATCCGAATCACAAACTTAATAATATGAGCAACACCACCTTACATATATAGTTCGATCATAAAATAATACAAATAACAATTAACAAATTAAAGGAAGGGGAAATAATTGGCATGCAGCAGGGATGGTTAATACGTACAAACACACTCCTCGATGTAGAAAAACTGCATCTAGACAAATAAAACACAAGTTAGCCCACAACCTTTTTGACAAAAAGGATTAATTAGCAGCTAAAAGTGTAAGATAAAGTGCCTAAACCAATCAATCTAGCTACAGTGACACTTTGATCTGTATATATCATTTGATGTGGATAGGATATGAGGCATGCGACACAATTTGGCGCATTCTAATTGGATTCCTATTGTAGAAATGGCCATCAAAATACGTACGTCAAGTCTAGACCTTAGAGGATTACCATAATTTCGAAGACTGGGATGGATTCATCAAGTAGCATGCACATGTATATCCTGATAGATGATCCCTTCAGTCTCCTTCTTTTGACTCGCGATATCTGGGTAGATTTTCTTCTTCAGCATCTTTCTCATCAGCTTTTACATAAAACGTTTAAATGGCAGCAACCCACATTAGAAGTTTCAATAGATAGTAACAAAAGATAAAATTAAAGATCCATAACTCGAATGTATGAGAGAGATCCATAACTCGAATGTATGAGAGAGAGAGAGAGAGAGAGAGAGAGAGAAGCTCACTCGTTTTGTTTTCTTGATCGGGTGAGTGGAATCATCTTTCTCGATCTTCTTCTTTTTTGAGATCAGGGTACTCTTGATGGATTCGGTACCTGTGCTTACATGGTAGGGGACATTGAAAGGATCACATAACCTCTCCTTCAACAAGTTCTTCTCCGAATCACCCCAAAGCAAATCCGCAAGAGTTGTTCGCTCTCCACTATTCATAATCTTCTTCTCGGTGCATTCAGTGTTCAAATTCGTAGGATCTTTAGCATCAACTTCTTCTTTACCATTATTAGGTTTAGCAACCTTATCACATGGTGACGGATCTTGTTTCTGAACATGATGAAACCCATGTTTACAAGCTTTTAGCACCAATGGCCATTCCATTTCTCCTTCCTGGTCCTCCTCATCTTCATCATGGCCAAACAACAACTGATTGTCGGTGTACGCAACATCTTTCACCTGGAAAGTTTTGGAAAGATCAATCCCCAACGTACCAATGGCGAGTATACCTTCTTTCCAGCCATCACAAACCCCTGCTAACGCTTCATTCTCAAGCAATGATAACTTGTCATTTTCAGCCTTCTTGGCATCTTCATCTGCCACACTTTTTTTTTGAAACCGACGATGAACCCAACTGAAGATCTGTGGATTAATGAAAACTAGTTATGATCTATAATCAACTAATGTTACGAGAATAATTAATATTAACCATTGAATACCTTCATATTCTTCTTTCTTGGTTGCAGCTCAATTTAGTTAACAAAGACTAAAATAAACATGGAAAGCGTTTTATGTGTGGATGTTGGCCACAAACGAATGAATTATAGGGTTTAGGTAAAAAAGAGGAAAACAAGGACCACAGGGGGACCAAAGTGGAAGGGACTAACATGGTAGAGTATTTCAACAGTGAACAAGGTTCAATTAAACGTTATTTGTCTGCAATGTCAAGCCTCAAGTTTTTACGAGTATGAGTTATGTCGAATGCAACAATTTTTGTATATAATTAATAATTCTATATATATTTTCTATTATTATTCATTTTTATATACATATATGACCTTGGTACAAAACTGTATGTCGTCTGTTTTTGAAAACTGTGTAGTGTCGGTTTTCATTTTTCTTATTACTAAAGGTCATAAACTAATTCACATGATTGTTTCCATGACAGTTTACTGAAAAAAAAATCACCATTGCAAATCGGACTTCACACGTTAACGTCCATTTTACATAAAAAAGATGAAAAGTAATGTGACAACCGAATACGATGGTCAAATATCTTCTTTTATAACATGTTTGTTATTTTATATGTACATTTATCTTATGTCGGTTATTACATAAAGACATAAGGTGTTGAAATTTCATTTTAAGTTATTAAATCTTAAATTGAAATTTGTAACATAAAAAAACACTCGTGACAAGATGTGCAACGGTCGAAAACGTTGGCCAAATGTTATCTTTTATAACAGGTTTTTTTATGTTATATGTACATTTACATTGACTCGGGTATTGAGTGAGACGTAAAGACATAAAGTGATAAAGTATAATTTTAAAAGATTAAATTAAATCTTATATTGAAATTTGTTACACGAAATAACTCATCATGACAAATAGTGACAGTCGAAAACGGTGGCAAAAATGTCATCTTTTATAACGGGTTTTTATTTGATATGTACCTTAATTTACCTTGTGGATCTTATATTGAAATTTGTCACATGAAAAAACCCATGACAAAGTAAAAAAAATAGTCAGAACAATGTTTTAAAAACCTATTTTTTATTTGAACTGGTCTGATTACCAATTCTCGTTTCAACAGCCGGTCTACATGTGGCAGTGGTCCGTGTTGGTCTTCAAGTTGTGTACACATGATCGATCGAGTTATTCAATTTTTTGGGAAATGAACTGTGTTTTTAATAGGCTAAGTAAAATCCAATTATTCAAGTCCAATAAACCGGTTCAAACGGTTTTTTAACGTATCTATCACATCGTTTCAGCCCGGTTTTTCAAGAAAACGTCAGGTTAGATTGGTCTAAAAATTGGCATAAAACTTGTTTTTTTCCAATCTCGTCCCCGATTCCTGGTTTGAACCGGTTTTAAAAACATTGGTCATAATATTATAATTTTTCACTACAAGTTGTAAAATATCAACCTTGTTATAAATATTTTTTGGTCATTCAATTTATTCATCACATTCTATTTATATTGTTATTCTCATGCACCTCATGTTATAAATAAATATGATAAATTTCACGAGCATATGACAAAAAAGAAATGATCGTACTAGGAAGAATTTGTTAAGCTAATAATTTTACACAAGTAATCTTAACAAAAACTAAAAAAATATTAAACTAATTATTAATAAAAATAGTAGGTATACAATAACAGATCCCAGTATACTGGTATATATACTGAAAATTATCAAAAAGAAAAAACTAAACAAAAATATCTATAAAACTTATAAAAGATAAAAGAATAGTATCAAGTTTTGTCCTGCAACTATTGTATCTTCATAACTTTTATTTGGCCTTACGTATTTTTATACCCGTACAGTTCCATCGGAAGTAATCATTGCAGGATTCAGAAGTCATATCAATTTTATCTACGAGTGACATTATATAATTATGTTTGTGTGGTAAAACTACTGTATTGTATTCCTCATCATCGATTTTATATGTATCTTTATAACTTTGTGGAGGTGTCATGATCACAATTGACTTTTTGTTATCCTCCGGGTCTCTCACATAGAATACATGTCGTACTTGTGAGACAAATATGAAAGGATCGTCATATTGTGACATCCGTCAAAAGTTGGTCAACGATCGTCAATCACAAACGTGACGAACGTCAATATATAACAAAGTTTAATGAAAATAAAACATTACACATCAAAGTGAGTTAAATCATCCAATAGCAGAAAATTTAGGAGTGCAAATTTTGTATTATTTTGTATAATAATCTGAAAGTACACGTAAACATAATTCCAAAAATATAAAGAACGCAAAAAATCTGACTTTGTATGAAAAAATTGTGATTTATCTAAGATTTACACTCAACACAACACAAAAATGTGTGTCATAAAAAGTTAGAGGAGAATCGGGTGAGTTTAGCCAAAACAATGTAAAAGAGAATTGTAGTACTCATGCATACAAATATGTGGATATAAAGAATGTAGAGAACAGAGCTCGTATGAGAGAGTTATGATTTTCGTAAAATCTTTTTGAGAGCACCCTTCATAAAAATAAAATTAAAAATAGAATGTGAATTAGTTGTGGAAGTCTAAAGGAAAGGTGTAGTACTAGTCGATACAAAATTGGAGATATAAAGAACGTCGAAAACGAGACTCGTATACGAGAGATATGAATTTTTAAAGATTATGAAAAATGCTTGTTGGAATGGGAACAGATTGAACACGTGTCAGCATCAGACTCGAATCCTTTCCTCTTACGCCTAGGCACGACGCGCCCTCCCCTTTTGGCAGCTATAGAAAGAAACCAAAGGTTGAACCATTATCACACAAGTTTTCATAACTTCCCTCTTTTGCTCTGGAAATCTTCCCACCCCGAGGCCCGATCCCGAGCTTCTGGCCACTTTTCCGAGAGGTATTATCGTGATATAAAGAGTGTTTTGAGGGTGAGTTTCACGACCCCATTTTCCGCTTTTTTACCATTTTTAGGGGGAGGGGGGATACGTGTTAAAATAATATTATTTGTTATATATCAATTGTTATTGTTATATTATAAATATTAATGTACTGTTTTTACAAAACTTGGATATTAGCTTTACCCTGTCGTTACTCTGCCAATATGATATCAAATATTTCACTCTGTCGTCACTCTGCCCGCATAATATAAATATTTTACTCTGTTGTTACTCTGCCCGTATAATATAAAATATTTGTTGCCCATATAATATAAAATATTTATTATACTCTGTTGTTATTCTGTACGTATAATATAAAATATTTATTATACTATGTCGTTACTCTGACCGATTAATTTTATAAAATAATTACAGGATATAATTATAAAACATTCTTATAATTTTATAACACAAAATTTTTCCTGATAACTCGAACTTATAAAGTTACGACTACAATTTTTAGAACATTTTATTTAAACGTTATGGTACCTTGAGGCACATTGATCACCTAAGTGGCAACGCTTAGTAAAGACTTAAAACCGTTAAATCTTAAGTGATCAGGATAGTTATGTGTAGATCTACACGGGTTGATACCCCCATCTGTGGTTGTTGGCTACAACCTTGACGGAATAGTCATATCGGGTGATAACTTTCTAAACAATTATGACGCCCGATGAAGCGTCGTGAGTGACAATTTTCATCAAGAACTCGATTATAGGGACTCACATGGTTAAATAATACTAAATACATAGAAGTTAAAATAATACTTATAAACACTACTTTTGGTATAAAAGTACATTCTTAACGAATACACTTTCAGTCAAGAAAGTACATACACAGTAAAACGCTACTTTCGCATAAAAGTATGTCCTTAACGAATACACTTTCGATCAACAAAGCACATATATATATCGAACATACTTTCAATCAAGAAAGAACACTTTTAAAACACAATTTTGATTTAAAAGTACACTTTCAATAAATATATTTTTTATATAAAGATATACTTTTTGTAAACATATTTTTGGTATAAAATTACTTTCTGATACAAACATTTCAAACCTGTGAACTCAGCAACAATATGTTGACGTTTTTAAAATCACATATGTTCTCAGGAAACTAAAATTCAGTCGCGTATCATCTTTTGGGAACATTCATGGATTCGCAGGTGTACTTTTTTTATCATTTTGTTTATTTAAATTGCCTAACTATTAAGGCACTGCTTGTACATAAGTTTTAGTATCTCAATACTTAGTACGATAGATAATAATTGATGTTATAATTGAAGTGATATTTATGTTATACTTTTGTTTATTGTTCAATGTAACAAATATATGTGATCCATCATGACGTCGCACAGCCCGACATTTCAGCCGCCGACTAGGGTGTGACAGATTGGTGTCAAAGCTATTGGCTATGGCAAACTAGTATTTTCGTAGGAAATTACGACTATAGCTCTAGGCTCACCACTCCGATTAGGTTTATCCCTGTAAACCTAAAAATAAAAGTATTATTAGTTATATTATCGACTGGTTGATCCTTACTTGTTAATCCTGAAGTAATAAAAAAACGTTAATAAAGCTATATATATATATATATATATATATATATAGACACACACATATCTTCTCTCCTAATAAAACAGTACCATTACCGCCACGTGTCACTCCCTTGTATCCTGCTTCTTTCATTTTCCCGCTCAATAGTCTTAACTGAATTTCCCACTTTGCCCTTCCGTTCCAAAAATACTGCAAATCCGGACAAATACTGCAAGTTTGAAATTTAAAATTTTAATTATCAATTATACCATATAAATCTGCAACAAATTAGGAAGAAAATATGTGTTAAACTCTATCTCAATCCCAAATAATCAGTCAATCGAATAACAATCCCAAAAAATCAGGTAAAGTCCTCCTAATTTAAATTTAAATATTTGTATATATACAGAAACAGCTACGTTCCTCTTTACGTTCCTCTTTCAATACGAATAAATCGAATATTCAATGTGTGGTAAGGGATACTACATTGTTTTCTTTCTGTTCTTCATATATCGAGCTTATACTCATCGATTTTTATTTTTTTTTCTGTTTGCAATCTGTTTTTCGTATATTCAGGGTATACCAATCGCCTTCTTTTTGTGGACTGCATAATCAACCAGGTTTGTTACGTA